GTTCATCACATGGTCACAGTTGTCTGGTAGTATTTGAATTTTTATAATTATTATACTAATTAGATTTATCTAAAATTTGGGACGTGTGTACATATGACCAAGTAGCACCAAAATAAAAAATTAAAAAAATAATAGTCTTAAAATAAAATGATGAAATTACCCTTGAAACTTTCTAAAAGTATTTATGTAATATTTATCATTCAAATTATTTTTTTTATATTTTATTCATATGCATCTCACCAAGGCGCACACACCTACAAAATTTCAGATCATTATGATTTGTAAAAAAATATATTAAAATTCAAATACTATCAGACATCTGTAACCGTGTGATAAACTTTGAATGGTGATAAAGCTGTAGGTGAAGTACTGTAGAACAACTGTGATAAAGCCGTAGGTGAAGTATTGTAGAACTTCACCTATAGGCGTTTTGTGTTTTGTAGTGTTTTCATATATATATATATATATAAATATAAAAGAGGCTAATATAAGGTGCCAACCTTATACTACTGAAGGAAGGTGCACATAAAAAATCCTCTAAAAGAGAGTGTTCTAATGATTGAAAACCCTTCAATTTGATCATCTTAACTTCAAGATGTATGGGTATAAAGATAAAATGAATTTGAAGTTCTAAAAACAGTACATCTTGTAATAAATTTTTTGAACCATCCATTTTCATGTTTTTTAAGTGTTCATAGATATGTTTGATTTGTACTTTTTTAAAATTTTAAATTTCACAAGTAGGGATAATTTCCAACGAATTTAGAAATGTGCCTTACAGGCTCCTTATACAAACCTCACACTAAATATATACCTAGATATATAAGAGAAGAGAGAGAGGGCCTCTTATACAAACCTCACACTAAATATATATGTAGACATATAAAAGGGGGGAAGAGAGAGAGAGATATTACCTTGGACACCAAAATGCTTATAGCTTTCCCCAACGTGGTGAGCAGAACAGCACATTCATCATCAACCTGCTTAGCCCTTCGACCAAAGAATATTAGCACCATGCGCCCATCGGTTACCACCTCTTGTGACCTTAACTTGAGGAAATGAGAGAAATCCTTTCTAAATTGTTGAAGATAGGCATGTGTCACACATGGTGGGCTTGCTTCTGTTATGTAAATGTTCCCCTTGTTGAGGGCCTTTCCATCCTTATCACGAAGACCAGGGGGAACCTACAAACCTCATGTTGGTGAGACTTGTGCTTTGCTCAAGTCATCTTTAATAATGCCATTCACTGTAAGCAATGTTAAACATCCATTGTGCAAAAGAACCAACGATAAAATATTTTTAAAGGTTGATTTTCATACTGTGGGTTGGCAAATTCCATGATGTGCTTAGGAAGGTGCCCCTTGGTTTTCCAACAGGGAGTCCATTTTGTTTAGGATGCCATGGTGGTCAATGGACCACAGTTTTCGAAAATAGGTGTTATCAGGTTGGAATAGCTCCATAATTAACGAGGGATCTGGTCTAATTAAAATCGATCCACCCGCCAATCAACTAGCTTGACCTGATTTAAATAATAAAAAAAGTAATAATACTAATTTAAAATATAAAATTTATTAAAAAAATATGAAAGATTGATCAAAATTGACCTATCTGACCAACTAAAATTAGTTAAACATTGAATTGAACCCTTTTTTGCCACACCCCAGTTTTGTTTTGGATCAAAGTGGCTAAAGCATTGTTCAACAGTCCATCCAGTAATTCATGTTCAGTATAGATAACAATGTTGTCAATATTGAGGATGCCTCTTATACCGCTAGTTTTACGGCAGAAACTATAAGATGCCTTTTTCTTCCAATTGTAACTTTTTGCATAGGATCATTAATTTTAAATCGGGAAAAGTTCATAGTCTTCCCCCCTATGTAGGCCACATATTCGGGTCTCTATAAAATTGGTGAACCCTTACCACTTAACAAAATAGGACTACTTCTCTTTCTCTACCTTTTTTAGCGTCAAATTAGCCAAATTGTTAACCAAACCAATCCAAATTTATGAAGAAAAACAAAAATTATTTTTCTATATAAGGAAAAGTCGTCGGAAAATAAATCTAAAACAAAAATAAACAAGGACAGTTTTTTGGAGAATCTTTTCCTGCAAAAATGAATGTAGCGAAATCGAATATATTAATCTTAGGACAAGAAATCGTGTATTCCTATTTGCCTTAAGAAGTTTTGGAGGGATTTGATAGATCCCTCCATGCTGGTCAACAGAGCTGCACCTGCACCAGGTTAGTAAGGTTGGATAGCTGGCTTAGTTATGAAAGGCCTGATTGAGCAAGTCTGACTTGAACCAGAGGAGTAACTTGGACACGTTAGGTTGGTAGAAGTGTTAGAAACCACCGAACGGTGAATGGAACCTATTAGTAGTTTTGGGTTTGTAAAAATATTTATATGTACGTCAAAATAACACCATGGTTTTGTATGTTTTTTTTTTAAGCTTTATTTTATAGAGAGAGAAATGTGTGGATTTTTATTTCCACACTAAAAAAGATAATGTTGATTGAATGGTATTTAAATGTGGGCATTATCGTGCCTTATACTCTTATAACAAAAGTGAGAGTAATGGTGCAAGTGTAGAGCACGTTAAGTGCATGACACACACATGTGTGGGCGTGGGCGTGGGTGGGTAAGTGCGAGGGCGCTTATGGTCCTTGCTGTGAGAAAAGAAAGGCTAGAGGTCTTGTCTGCATTGCAGTTAGAAGCAGGGTTGCAGCAAGAACAAATGACTTACCTTGCAACCCTGATAACAACAGAGGTTGGGGAAGGCTCAGGGGGGCCTCTTGCAATTCAAGAGTTCTTGGAGAAGAAAATAACATTATGGCTTTAGAGCTCATAAGGACATCAGTACCAAAACATGTGGTCGATTACTGCACAGAGCTCGAGCCTAGTGTGAAGCCACCCAACTAGAGCCCCATATGGTGTGGCCTCATCTGAGTTAAGCTGCATTGAGAAGGCACCTAGATGAGCGGCTAGAAGCTGGGATGGTTCACAAGGGATGTGAACGGACTATTGCACCTTAGACAAGCTGATGGTGAAGAATTGATATCCTCAGCCACTCATTGGTGACTTCTCAACTGGCTGGCCAAGGCTAGGGTCATTAGCAAACTGGACCCCTGCTGGGGTACTGGCAGGTCCACATCACAGAATGAGATGTGGAGGAGATAACTTTTGTGACTCGATATGGTTCCTTTGAATTTGTAGTAATGCCATTTGGGCTAACTTATGGCCTGGCCACTTTCTATCATATAAGAATTATTTTCTTAGACAGTACATAGTTGTGTTTGTTGTTTTGTACTCAATAAGAATAGGAAAGCCCACTTATTTTTTTCTTAATAAGAATAGGAAATTTGTTAAATTTGTCTCCACATGAGGTCACATTTTAGCATTTATATATAAAATAGAACAAATAAAGTAAAAAATAAATAAGGAACCTCCCTATTTCTTATCCGTACGTGTCTCTCTCTTTAGGGCCTCAATTCAAGGAAATATTATCTCTCTCGAACTTACTCTATACACAATCCCTACTTTCAAATAACTTCTTTCTTCTTAGTCTTGTACATATCTCTCACCAAAATCCCTATTAAATAAGAACCATTGTATTACACAATTAAAATATCCCTACCACTTTCTAATGACCCTTTCGAAATGAATAACGACACATCAAACCCTGTTATTAAAAATAATAATAATAGATAAACTAAAAAAAATACAATACTTAAACCCTAATATAAAATCCAAAGGATAACTCAAGACAGTTCTAGCTTCTGCATCAGACCCTACTGGATGGAAAAAACTCTTTATTGAGTTTTGAATTGGGTAAGGATCCTTTCTTTGACCCTGAAGGCCATCCTTAGTACAATATTCAAGCTTCCAATCTCTAAACTCACAATTACTCGATAGGATATGTCTTTAACATCAGCCTTTATATACGTGAAATAAGATATGTATTTGTTAACTTTGATGACTTTCTTAAAACTCTTTATCACATTCTCAAAATCGTCATGTATTGCATTCCCAGCCTCCCCCCTCTGTGCCTTGTCCTTCCTCAACTTCTCCTCTCTTTCTTCTTCTAATTCTCTATAGGCTCCGGCTCCTCAAGGTTCAACTCAACCTCTTGCTTCTCCTCCTCTACATGGATGAAGAAATTAAATATCCCAACTACCTTAGGGCCAACATCTTTCCTTTCATCTTGTTTTTCATCAAACATAAGAATTTTATCAGAGATGGGGTCATCTATGACATCCAGGGTGAGTCTAGTTCTTATCAAAGGTTGGACCATCTATGTGATCAAAGTGATCATCAAGGGAAAGATCTAAACCCCTAACCTTGTGGTGGAAAATATTGTCATCGGATTGTGAATTCTCTCCTGACTCAACATCCAATTCACAAATGGCTTAACGGGGCGTTCTCGATGCAATACTTGAAGTTCTCACACCATTTGACATACTTGTCTCTATAGCTCTTGGATATGTCGTGTTTCCTCCTCTTTCATGTCCTCTAGTTGCCGTGGAGGATCACTAAGCGTACTTTGATGCCGCTTGACACAATGAAAACAAAGATAGAGAGGAGAGTAGGACACGAGAACTTTTAGCCCCTAAATCAAACACACCAAGTAAGAAGCAAGAGACATAAACAGTAAGCTATGCATGGTTTGTACAAGGGAATAAATCATTTTTTTCTTTCAGTAAGAATATAAAAAATTTCAAGTCAGATAAATAAAAAACCTTTCTGCTTCCTATCCGTATATGCCCTTTCTCTAGAGCTACAATTTTAGGAAATATTCAGTCTCTCTAACTTACTATGTACAAAATCTCAATTATCCAGGACTCCACATAACTTCCTTCTTTCTCCCTAGCCTTGTACATATCTCTTACCAAAATCACCAAAAAATAGGAACCCCATGCACTACTCAAATCAATATACCTTAACCAATTCCTACCCATTAGAAATAAATATTGATATAATAACCCCCATTATTAAATTAATAATAAACAAATTACATTTGCCTCAGAGTCTAGGGACATTATTTGTTATGAAGTAGGTTTGCGGTGCGTTTTGATAACAAAGCCACAAGCTACTTAACCACACAAAAAACATTAAGCCCAAAAGCAAGCCTGCTGGTAGGAATTTCTACCTAAACTTTGTCTTAGATTATGAGTAGGCCAATGTGGTTGCAGATGCACGAAGTCAAAAGATGGATGATCCAGTGGTAGTCGCAACTACGGTTAGAGTAGATGTGGATCTACTACAATAGATTTGGGGAGAGAACTAAAATGAAATGACAACCCAAAAGTTGGTGAAAAGGGTCCCAAAGGGACAAACCAAATAGTTTTGTCTAGAGAGTGGCGTCCTCTATGCCAAGGGCCGATATATATATATATATATATGTGCATCAGTCGGAAGGAGTTGATGTGAGAGTGTCGTGACACCCCTACCCATCCAAGTCGAGAAAGAACCATCACACTCCTATCCAGCAGTTTTTACTGGCCCACTGGGAGTAAGATTTAGAGCACTATATCCAAACCTACCTCATTTGCTAGTAAAATAAGATAAATTCATGGATGCCAACTGGAATTCTCGAGCATCTTCTCCACTAAGCGACCACCCTCAAACAGACGACCAAATTGTGCGGGTGAAAAAATGTTGGGGGAGTATCTTTGGCATCATGTTACAGCCAACCAACATATTTGGATTCATCGATTAGACATGGCTAATTTCGATATAAAGTTCACTATAGCTACTCAATAGTAAAGAGTGCCTTCAAAGTAGCCAAGTTTTAACAGCCTAACACTATATAATGAGGGCCTATAACATGGACATATGCAGTGCCCTATATAATGAGGGCCTATAACATGGACATATGCCGTGCCCTACCGCCCTTAAATTGGCTGAGCCCCCGTTGTGCACATCACGGTTTTTTTGTCTCTCTCACGCTCAATGATCCCGCAATCACAGTTTCCCAAAATTTATTTTCTAAAATTTTTCTTCTCATCGCCGTGTGCACCAAACCCGATCGCCGTTTGCAACAAACCCTATCACCGTGTGTGAGCAACCCCTAACGCCTTTCTCCCTCTCACGCCCTTGGTCCCGTGCGACCACCGTTTTCCAAAATTTTTCTTCACATCACCGTGTACAACCAACCCTGTCGCCGTGTGTGAGCAACCCCTAAGGTCGTGCGTGATTTCCACCCCAACGCCGTGCACGACTCTCATCTCACTGCCGTTTATGACTGCCAACCCACCCCCGTGCGCGACTAAGCCTATCTACTCTCGCAGCCTACCACCATCTCAGCCACTCACCTTCCTCCACCCTGCTGCAACATCTCGCAGCCCTATCTCTCTCGATCACCTGCTGCAACCACTACAGCAGCCATTGTCTCTCCCCTCTCTTCACCTTTCTCTGCTCTCAGCTTCTACATCACCCCATCTTCTTCGGCCACCCGCCGTTAGTCACTGCTCTCTCTCATCCTCTGCAACATCTGCCTCCCCAAATCCCACCTTTGCTGCCACTCACCTACAAACCAGGCACCAACCCCGCTTCCACACCTCCTGCCATCCATACTCCTCTCTCTTCTCTCGCCCCCATCTCCTCAACATTATTTGCACCCAAAGCTCGCTCTCATTCTCCACCCCTTTCGCCCCTCTTCCCCTGCTCTTCTCTTCTTCATTTCCACCGCCTGCAACTACCACCAGCCTGCTGTATCCGCCACCTCTGCTGCTGTCCTTTATGCAGCCATATCCGCCATCCACTCTGCTGCTTTCCCTCTCTAAAGTCCCTGCTACCACTAGCCACAACCACCCCCTGCGCAGCAATCCCCGCCTTTCTTAACCGCCACTGTCATTCACCTCCGCCTGCCTGGTCCATTCTCCCACTCCTCATCTCCCTCCACCTGCTCTCGTAGCCTCCATCCTTGCTCCATCTCCCCGAACCTGCAACCACGAGAATCTCACGCTGCTGCCCCATCACCTACAACTCGCAGCCTGCTCTCGCCTTCCCCATCCTCTTCCTTCGCGGCCTAATCTCGCCTTCCCCCTCTCATGACGCAAGACCATCCGTCTCCATTTTCCCTTTCCCCCTGTTCTTTCTCTCCAAAACCCACAAAACGAGCCGCCCTTTTCATTCTTTCGTTTCGTTTTCTTTTTTTTATTTTCGGTTCATTCTTTCGTTCGTTTTCTTTTTTTTATTTTCGTTTCGTTCTCCTCTTCTACCCCATCTCATTCAAACACACACACTCTCTCTCTCTCTCTAAAACCCACAAAACGAGCCGCCCTTTTCATTCTTTCGTTTCGTTTTCTTTTTTTTATTTTCGTTTCATTCTTTCGTTTCGTTTCGTTCTCCTCTTCTACCCTATCTCATTCAAACACTCTCTCTCTTTACTGACCAAATTCATTTGTTTTACTTTATTTAAAACACCCTTTCTCTCTCTCTCTTAAGTAATCCATCTTTTTTCTTTATTTTATTAAACCATCCTATTTTACTTCTTCCACCCCTTTTTTTTTTATATTATTCCATTTTACTCTCTTTTTTCATTTCATTTTATTTACTTCAATTTATTTTCCTTCATTCCATTTTATTCCATTTATTTTGCCTCACTCATTTTATCCCACCATACTTTACTCTATTCCATCCATTTATTTTATCTTAATTATCTCATCTTATTTTATTTTCTTCCATCCCTTATATTTTATTTTACTTTACTCTATTTTAATTTATTCACTTTATTTTACTTTATTTTATTTTATTTAAGTTTACTCCCTTTTCCATTTTCTAATTCTATTTTATTTTCATTTTAATTCATCTCTCTTATTTTATCTCATTTTCCATCATTCTTATTTCGTCATCACTTTTATTTCACCTTCGTCTCTTTTGGAAGACCTAGCGAGAGTCAAGCTAGTCTTCACCTCCCCTCTTTCTCTTCTTTACTTATTTGACCAGAGGGCAGGCTAAGTCTTGTGCTGCCGTGCCAGTTTTTTCGTCGAGCAATTTAGCGGCCGCGTCGATCTGAGTTACCATGCCTGTCTAGCTGCCATGTTAGACTAGCCGTTGTGCCAGACTAGCCGTCGTGCCAGTCTTATCGTCGAGCAGTATTGCTGCCGTGCCGATCTGAGTTACCATGCCTGTCTTGCTGCCACGTCAGACTCTCCATCGTGCCAGGCTGGTCGGTGTTGGTTCTGCCATCAGATTCTTGTGTGCTAGTTTTCCATTTCTTCCTTGAGTACACACACGTGTGCGCTCACCCTATAATAAGGAGGCAACCCATATGCCATTTGTCTCTCTATGTGTGTGTTTGCAGGAAAGGAGAAATAGGTCAAGAGAGGCGATTCCAAACCGGCCATAGGCCAGAGGGGCATTCCAACGTGATCTAAGAGGGCGCCCATGCGAGCCAGCCTGAGCGTGTCACGGACCCACGTGACGTAAGTCCTACCTCACGACCCTAATTCTTTTATCACAGGTTGGTACTCCTGTCCACGTCTTCTTTACGTGGTTCCCGAGAGAGCGATCTCAAGTCTCGGGTCCATCTCGAACCCAGAACCACGCCACCAGATCAACCCGACCGGGAGGGCGAGAATGAGGCACCTAATCAGCTTGGCGACTCCATTGGGGATATGCTACCCCATCGTTGGATCGTTCTTATTTGGCCTTCCTTTCTTTTATTCCTACTCACTATACGCACACTTGTCTTCGGGGTTGCTCAAACCCTTCATCCCCGCACTCGTGAGTCTTCATCGGGAACAGGTTCCGCGAACCTCGTTCTCGTCCTTTCTCCTGAGCATCGACCCTGTGTTGCGTTCCTAGGTCATCCTTGGAAAGAGGTGAGGATGGATTTAAAAGTCCCTCGCTCCCTACCTCATTACAATGGTGGACCCTCTATCAACACACCCTGCATTGGTGGCACACATGCCTCCACACACAACACGCACCCTGTTATCAACAACTCACTTGCTGGTCCCACTTCTCGAGAACGAGAGACCTTTCTTTTCCCTAATGCCCATCGTACGGATGATGCAGGAAAAACATCGAATGCGAAGAACACCAAAACGGTTACTCAGGGCATGATGAAGCCTGTTATCTATGAAGATCCAAGTCTCACTCGGGGCAAGGACAAGACTACGAACAGGGCAAAGAGCCAGACCAACCCCGGTAGCCCAACCAATCCCTAGTCAATTGTACCATCATCTGATCAGATGCCCGAACTCATTCCGAGTCAGGGCACCGAGAGCAATAGCTTCTTCAAGCAGACTGAGCTCGAGGCAACTCGTGGGTCTGAATCAATTCCCTTAGACTCCTGTTAAGCCCGAAGACACCGCTCCAAGGTTGCTCTAGTTCCTCAAGTGAAATGGAAGCCGAACCCACCTAGGGCGCTGACCATGACCCCTTTGTGGTGGAGAGTTTGATCCATGAAGAGACATGTTCCTTTCCCATAATGCAAGAGAATGATCCATCATCTCCCCTCAAAGTCTGCCTTGACATCCTGGCTCCCCAAGATGAAGCTGAAGAGAAAACTGATACTGTTAAGCTGCTGCAAGGGCTTGAGAAACCCGTTTTTCGAGATTGACCTTCAAAATAAGAAGGGGACCCTGTTACTGGCTGCTTTCCTTCCGTCTTTCCAGGGATTCATCACAGAATCTTTGACACGTGATGGACAACCGTCTACTCTCGTTGGTTTTAATCATGCTACTTCCCTCGCTTGCTCTCTCGTCGACATTCTCCCCTCGACATTCTTACTTCTGATGAGAACCCGTCACTCTCATTCAAGGAAAGTTGCTCCCCAGTACGGGATGAAATGAGCTCCGCTCCTCCTAATGGTAGCCCTGTTCAAGTGGCTCCTCCATGCCTTGAGAATTCCACGATTCACTGCAAAGCCCATTGCCTACCCCCCTTATGCCATGAATGCTTCATGTGTCCTCTTGAGGATGATGTTGGAGACCTGCCATCTTATGTCGCCACCGACAACAATGCAGGAGCTGCGATCCCTCCAAGGGCAGCAGGCTTATATCCGCAGGTTCATCTAAAACCTCTCAGGTCTCTGTAAGCCTTTTACGCACCTGTTAAAGAAAGATACCCCATTCATCTGGGATGAAGCATATCAAGCGGCCCTCGATGACATCATGGACTATTTACTCAACCCTCCAGTGCTTTCTACACCGGTGTTGGGACAACCTCTCATCTTGTATGTGACCGCTCTAGACATGTCACTTGGGGCATTATTGGCACAAAACAATGACGAAGGGAAAGTGATCGCACTATACTATCTCAGCCGCAGGATGCAAGGGACCGAGAAGAATTATCCCCCTGTCGAGAAGATGTGCCTCACCCTAATCTTCGTAGCACAAAAGCTCCGCCACTACTTGCTTGGTCATGTAGTAAAACTTATATCAAAAGTAGATCTTGAAAAGTTTCTCATGACACACCCATGCTTGTCGGGACGCCTAACTAAGTGGGCATTATTGCTTATGGAATTCGACATCACATATGTCCCACAAAAGGCCGTCAAGGGCTAAGCTTTGGCTGATTTTCTCGTCGCACATCCTGTATCGGCAGAATCTCCTTTATCAAGTGACCTCCCTAATGAAGAAGTATTATGTGCAGAACTTGTTCATGCTTGGGAGATCTTCGACAGAGCCTTCCAATCTGATCGAGGAGGCGCCGAAGTGGTATTCATGACTCCGAAAGGAGGACTACTGCCTTTATCCTTCTCTCTCACCGAAGTTGGTTCCCATAACAAGGCAAAATATCAGACCCTTATAATTAGGCTGGAGATAGCTTTTGATCTAGACTAGGAGCAGCTCAAGATCTATGACGACTCTGAGTTGGTTATTTGGCAGCTTAAGGGGAACTATGACGTGAGAAAAGACACACTCAAGCCTTATTACGATACTGCAAAATCATATATGGCTCAGTTTGATGATGTATCCTTGAGTCACATCCTCAAAAGGTTAAACTCGTAGGCTGATGCACTCACAAAACTCGGGGCTACAATTCAATTGTCCTCACCAGGGCCCACGCCTTTCTGGGTGGTAGAGTGGAGACACATTGAACTGAGAACCGAAATAGACCGGATGATGAGAGAATTCTCTTCCCCGAGTGCCCACCTTATCCATTCAGAGAACTTCTGTCAGCCAAAGAAGTTATTAAGACCAAACAGGAAATGGCACGGAGTCAAGGAGCTGAGGTTCAAAAGCGGAAACTGAAGTTCTTCGACCCAATATGCCTGGAAGTCGAGCAGGTAGAAGATTGGAGAGAGCCCATCATTAATTTTATAAAGCACGATAGACTTCTTGAAGATCGTGTTGAGCGAAACAATGTGCGTCACATGTCTACCAAATACACCCTCCTTGAAGGAGGCACTCTCTTCGGATGGTCTTTCAACAGTATTCTTCTCAGATGTGTAGACACACAAGAGGCAAATAAGGTGTTGGAAGAAGTACACTCAGGCATGGATAGACTGCATCAGTTTGGCCCTTAAGCTCTATAAACGGATACACAGATTGGGGTACTATTAGCCTTCGATGACTGCCGACTCCTTAAACTATGCCAAGAAGTGCCAGGTGTGCCAAATGCACTTGAGCCTCATTCATCAGCCTCAAGAACCCTTACACCCTATAGTGGCATCATGGCCCTTTTCACAACGGGGTATGGACATTGTAGGATCTATCGACCCTCCTTCTGTAATGGGTCATGTCTTCATTCTAGTCGCAACGAACTATTTCTCCAAATGGGCTGAGGCAGTGCCACTCACGCAAGTTCTTGGGGCTACGGTGGCCAACTTCGTGCATCATCACATCATATACCGGTTTGGGGTGCCTGACCGGATTATATCTGACAACGACCCACAATTCAAAAGTCATCACATTGATCGCTTGGTTAACTTTTCGGTTTCTAGTGGAAGTACTCAACTATGTACCACCCTCGAGCGAACGGTTTAACTAAGGCTTTCAATAAAACCCTGTGCAATGTTTTAA